ACTGGGTGCAACTTACTCCAATCACAATTTTACAAATGCTAAGACAAAAACTATACAGGTTATACGAAATCTCTAGAAATTCCCTACAAATGGTTATGATGTTAGGGGTGATATTATTCTGGCAAACGCCCTTTTAATCTTACTCGTTAAACGATAAATGACGAACAAAACTTGGCGCGTGCAAGCAAAAACCGAAGTCGATTAACGCCGCGAAATCTGTCTCGTACATTTCAATGTGTGAATTCGAAAAAATCCTCTTATACATGAATTTCTTTGTGACGAATTCCTTTGTTTTCTTTATATTTAACGTTTATTTTGTTATCTGTATATATGTATGTGATCTGCATAACCAAAAATCTTTGTTCCATTTTTAGCATTTTCTGTAAAATCTAAACCTGAGGAACTTCAGTAAGTATATGCCGTTGGTTTTCTCACTAACTCCCCCTTCGAGTCCATGTAGAACACAAAGATGATAGTGGTCATTAGTGTGTTTATAATAACATAGGTTAATGAAAAAAGGGTTTAGAAGATGTACTATGAAAGAAAATGAAAGTACGAACTAAAAAATAAATCTGAACTGTACATTTTTCACAGACACAGGCACCAGTTATAACATGACTTGATAGAACTCAGTTGTCATAATAGGAAAAATATTTCGGTCATCCATAAAACATTCCACACAAAGATAATAGGTATGTAGGTTGAATGATACAATTGAATGCTGGGTATTACCACCAAATGTTCCCAACAAATAGGAAACACGTTTCAGTCTTAGTGGAATGAGATAAAAATTATCACTTCACATAAGAATAACCGAACTACAGTCACACAATATATCAACTGTTAAAAGACAACGTTGAAAAAATAAACATGAAGCACCTATTAAAAACTCAAAGACATAACGTAGTTAGTCTATCGTAGAATCTGCAAGCACTACATGATGACTGAAAACAAATCAAAATAATTGGACGCAATTTATGTAAATAAGGAAAGGAAATGGAGAAATTCCTCTATATTGAGTGCGGCCACGTGGATTTCCACACACATTTAAACATGTAAACTCAAAATGTCTCTTACACCCTCATTTTCACTTTTCATTTCCCTTTCGGATAACACGATATTAGCATTATTCATCTTCAGTGAAATCTAAGCCTTCTGATGTCGTTGTGGTTTTTGATTGCTGCTCCGATTTTGTGCTGACTAACATTGTTTATTTCTAGGGGCTCCTAATCGAGTAATGTATTCATGAATAATTCTGTTTTCATTTAGTTGACTGGATCTATTACTAGGGTTTGTTGTTTTGGACTGCTAACTAATCACATATGCAAAGCGCCGCTTCGTTACGTTTTTATCATTTTTCGAAAAAGCACTATATCTGTGTTACTAAGGCCACTTCTATTATTTGACGATTAATAGTACGAAGTACTATCGTAACTAGTTACTGTAAATAACTCGGAAGTCGTCTAATATCCCATCCATCTTATTTTTGTACGGATTTTATGGTTCTGTACACGAAATGTTGTTTGTCATTGTATTTTTGTATCCCTAAATTGAAGTACGCCACTGAATCATTCCCAATTACAAGGATATTGGAGTTCCTAGAATTTCCAACATAACAAGTGCTACTACATGGCGTCTGATAAGTCTAGACAAACCAATAGCCCCAAAAATATATCATTATTTTAAATAAATGCAGATGCAAATCATTCAAAGGAAACATCCGGATACACCTTTAAATAACAGTAAAATAAAAGCCGAAATACGCAACATGTACACGGTCGGACTTTAATAGGGTAAGATAAGTGTGCCTTAGCCGACAGTCAATTCAACTCTTGAATTGTACTTTTGTGACTTAATTTCTTTCTTTCCTGTACATTGTTGACTGCTCACTTATATCCACAGAATTGCTAAATTCATTTGCTCAAAAAATACCCCGTCGTGTTTGATGTACAGATGAACAACGATCTACCTTGAAACTCTATTCTCGAACTTAGACACCAACCACTAAGAAAAAAACAGACAACTGGCTGTACAGGCTATGGACTTGCTAACGAGCCACAACTATCAGCACAAAGCAATATTTATATTGATCACGTTCATAATGAACAAACGTCCATATGTTAATGACAATAATAAACAACAGTGTTATTTTTAATTGGTATGCTTCTACAGTTTTATACTTTAACTACGATAGAAGTGTGCAGTGGGAAACAGGACATGACGAAAATGAACCAGTCAAAAACGGACCAATAGGTTTCTAAAAAAATTACTTTGGTAAGAACGAACAAACACTAATGGTTCCACAACTTAAATTCGTTTGCACCTATAAAGAACACCGAACCTTGCATACTGCGGTCTGGTGTATCTAAGTTTTTAATAAAAACAACCGAAAAATTTTTTAAAAAGCGGAAGACACAGATTTGTATCCCAATCCCAGTGTAAATACAGAGTATCTCAAATAAAGATTAGTAGTCAAGATGAAAAACTTTGAGGGTAATGTACTATATCCTAACAGCAATCTGTTAGAATCAATTCAGTTTGAAGATGCCACAGATATTTGTAGTTTGACAACGCCTAAACCAGTAACACCTTCTACTATGAATCGTACCCACCAAGTTAAATAAAAGTCAGAATTCAGGAGGTTCGAAGATATATTTGATAGGCTATCGATATATCGAGAATCGATTGATCTACGCTGGTTAGCGATTGCACGGTATACTGGGCACGGCGTTCCCACTTGTGATGTGGTGCGGATGCATGATCGAGTGCCTTCAGTTAGGTGAGTTCATTAAAACTATTGTGGCCAGCATCTAATGTCGAAGATTTAAAGAGGATTTATTTGCCGCTATAAATTGTAGAGGCTACTACTATTTGTCATTTACTTAAGGCTTAATTTGTATAACATTAATTACGTATTTATTTGAAACAATTCATATATTTAACAAAATTTTCAACATTATCAGAAGAAACATTCCAAAAATACAATTTTCGATCAAAAGATTCGTTGTATTACAGAAAGAAACTGTTGAAGTGTATACACTTACGAATTTGACTTTCAAACGTTTTTATGACATCACAGATATATCCTGTGATCAGAAATATTTATGTGAAGTATTCAATTCAAGCAGAAACAAATTGGACGGTTTATGACTAATTATTGATAAACTAGATCACAAAACTATGATATTAAAGACTAGCTAGGGTTGGAAAAACAATTTCCAGTTATTTGAAGGATATTTAAAAATGAACGTTTTATTTTACACTATATCAAAAGAACTGTATAAATACTATTGTACTATATTGAGAACATTGAGAATCATAAGAAAAATTATGTTCATCATCATTGAATAAAAATGCAAGTGTCAAATACTTAAACCTTCCTAATGTAAGTAGTACATAGTGTGTAATTAAGGGAATGTTTGCTTGAATCATTTTGTTTTCAGTAAACTGTTGAATGAATCATCTAATTAGTAACTCTTTGATTATAAGCTAGCTGGTGAATTATTGAATTTAAAGGGCATTTTTATACGAAAATTAATAAAGGTCAATTAAATAAAAGTTCAAGTAAACAAACAAACGGGAGAGAAAGAGTAAGAAATTGTCGCGTTATCCTAAGCCATAAAATGACTTAAGGATTACCAAGGTAAATCCAAGGTTACGACAAATTGTTTTTGTACACATAAGGGGGCTTTACATTTACGAATAGACAAAGCTTCAATAAACCTGGAAATTCGTACTTCACAATTTTTATACAATGTTTTAAAAGCTGTATCAATGTCAATTTTGTGCCCCGTTTCAATTATATATTTCGCTATCGATGAACATGGTTTTCTACCTCTCACGTTGATCAGATCATTTGACACTAATTGGTTTCGAAGCCATCTAGGCAAATGGTCAATGACCCCCGTTTGTATTGTTCGATTACTTCTCCCTGTATATGTGTCCACACAAGCATGTTAATTTGTAAATACAATGGGATGTGACGTAATCACTCGTGCATTGTGTGAGTCTGTTTGGAATCATGGGCTTAGATCTTTCAATCACAACCAATTGAACAGCATAATAGGTTTTCTTGATAGCTGCTTTCAACTTCTGTCTTAAAACTATATTAATGGATTCACCTCGATATGGTAGATGGATATAAACTTTCTTCTTTGGAACTAAATAATCAAGAGGTCTTGGTATTAACTGACGTTTGCACTTATTAATGAACTTTAGGGGATAACTATTTACTATTAATGTGTCAGTCAGTAACTTTTCACCTTTTTTCAACCATGTCAGTAGTGTAAACTCTTCGGGACCTTTTAAAGAAACATTTAATCAAGCTTCGCTTGTATTGCGAAGGACAGAAACTATGGAAATTTAAGTATTCTCCCGTCCAAGTTCGTTTCCTATACACTGACCGTCTTATAGTATCAATCTCTCTTCGACTTAAAAGTATGTTTAAAAAGGCCAATTGGCCATTATTTTCTGCGTCATGAGTCATTGAATGTGTAAGTTGTTAATGAGTTCTGAAAAACTAATAATAACGTTTTACCGACTCTGTCTCGAAATACTTATCATTTACACAGAAGTTTTGCTCAGTGGCTAAAATGTAGCTTCAAAATCACTAAGTCATCTTAACATTGTTGTTGAATTATCACTAAATTATGGTCACATCAGTTTTACTCGAATATGTATGAAGACTTATCTTATTTTTAAGATTCAGCGATATCCGGTTGTTGAGAATTAGTACTTCAGCATCATTAGTATTGATTCAAGCTATATTGTTTCACGTTTTTTACTCATTTCGCGTTGAAGAGTTCAATGGAAATAATTTATTACAATATCATTATTATTGGAAAATGAAATGACATTTCAACAAATAAAAATATGGTTACGTAATGTTGATTATACCAAAAAAATATGAATGCCAACTTAAATCGATATCCACGTTTATGTATCAACATGCATTTAGGTACAAATGCATGTGTATGCTCGTAGAATATGTATCCCAAAGATCATTTTTTCACAACGATTGTTAACCCATCTCCAAGATTTAGCAAAGAGATTCGTACACGATTATCTCCAGCTACCAAGTCATTCACTTCCCTAATACCAACAGTTTCGGAGGTTTGATCGGTCTCATCGACCACAAGTCCCGACCAAATAACCTTGGGAAGAAATTAAAACAAAAAACTTGTGTATTATTTGCACAGGTGATTCCATCAAGATTATTATGCATTTTACCAACCCAATCACACTTGACAGTGAAACTCTGGAAGAGGTGGAATATTTCACGTACTTGGGAAGAATTATCGATGAACAAGAAGGATCAGATACAGATGTAAAGGCGAGGATTGGCAAAGCAAGGGTCACAATCCTACAATCCAAGAACATATTGAACTCAAAACAATTGTCTTTTAACCACTATTAGAGTCAAAATCTTCCATACGAACGTCAAGATAGTTCAACTGTACGGAGCCGAAACTTGGAGAGATACTACAACCATCATCAAGAAGATACAAGTATTTATAATTAGTTTTCTACGGAAGATATTCAACATCCATTGGCCGGATACCATCAGCAACAGCCTACTGTGGGGGAGAACAAATCAGCTTCCAGTTGAAGAGGAAACTAGGAAAAGACACTTAAAGTGGATAGAATATACAATACGGAAATCACCAAACTGTATCACGAAACAAGCCCTAACTTGGAACTCTGAAGTGAAGCGGAAACGAGGAAGGTCAAAGAATACATTACGTCAAGAAATAGAAGCAGATATGAAAAGGATGGATAATAACTGTAAAGAGATGGAAAGGATTGCTTAGGACAGGGTTGGATGGAGAGTGCTGATGGGCGGCCTATACTCCTATACGAGGAGTAACAGGAGTAAGTAAGTAGGTATTATGCCTTTTAAATGCTGTTCTTACTAACTCAGATCGGAGGGGGATTGAAAAAAGTAGTAGTGGACAGTTACTACATTCTAGATCCGGATTCCTTAGTACGACTCATCCCACAAACTCACATAAGATCAGGGCAGGCGTCTCATACCTTACAGCCATGGAGACACATTAAGATTACTAGTCTGGGACCAATAGTTTTACTTTTTTATATTCTGTCAATTTTTAGTAGAGCAAAAAACTTTATTCCTGACCAAGTAAAATTTCATAAGTGCTCATTATTAACTGTGTTCACAAAATCACATTTAAAAAAGAATCATAATGATACTGTTCTAGATATTTGCGTTTATATATTCTCAGATTAAACATAAGTTATTATAATATGTGAGACTATAATGTATGCACGACCTTTGAAAGACGCTAATGTGATCTTGAGATTGTCTACCTGTTAACTAGGACCAAATGAGGGTTATAATTAGTGTGAGGAATTAGAATTATAATTTACAATTTATGGTTAAGGTTAGGAATTAAATTTAGGGTTTTTCATCATCAACTGACATCAACTATACTACCAAAACTTTATTTAATCAAATAGATGGATGAAATTCGAGCCAAAAATTCAAGACCTGTTATCTGATACTTAATTGGTTCAACCACAAATGATACTCTCGCCAAATACTTATATGTATTAAACAATGAACAATATGACAAGCTGACTTTTCATTCAATACACAATAATGTAATTTAACAAAAAGAACATACATTTCATAACTTGAATTTTTTAAAAATAAAACTAATTTTGATCATTCATGCTCTATTGTTTTGTGTGATATTGTATTGACAACAACAACACCACCAACAACAGCAACAATGACGACGACAACAGCAACAACAACGACAGAAATGTAAATAAAATGATAAATGTCAATATTTTCATTCTACTACTTTACAGTGAATTGTTTACTCCAATAATAATAATAACAATAATAATAATGATAATAATAATAAACTCTGATAACATCTATTTAAGAAAATAATATCATGTACAATTTGATAAGTTTCTTAAAAGAAATTTTTCAGATTTTTCAAAACTAAACGAATATTTATATTCAGAAGGGGTTTGTGGAGATTCTAAAAATTTCACAGATTGAAATCATAAGTCAATTGAAGCTAGATCACTATGGAAAACCTGGAAGCACAGAACGACCGTTTCGACCCAGTATGGGACTCCTCAGCAGTGCGCATCCACGATCCCGCACGCCGCGGGATTCGAACCCAGGATATACTGTGACCAGGTCTGTTGTGAGATATCAGCTCACTGAAGACAATGGTATACGGTGGCACAACTTCGTGGATCGGTTGAAGTTAGACATTAACACCGTTGGACGCCGACTTAGTGGTCTAGTGGTTAAGTGCTCACACACGGAACCAGTAGGTCCTGGGTTCGAATCCCTCGGCGTACGGGATCGTGGATGCGCACTTCTGAGGAGTGCCGTACTGGGACGAAACGGTTGTTCAGTACTTCCAGCTTTTCTATGGTGGTCTAGCTTCAATTGACTCATGAATTCAATTATTAAATTACTATAATATCCACAAAATCCCTTCTGTGATTAAAATGTTTATGTATTCCCTCTAGTGAAATATATATACTAATGAGAGAACATTTCTTTAACCTTTGAATTGCAGAAGTGAAAACATTTATTCATCAAATAGTGCAATAATTATAACTAACATCCCTGGCGAATATGTAACCGATTTCATGGGAAACTTCCAGTTGAATTTTGTGACAGACAATATATTCATGATATTCCTCAACTTTATAGTTGACTAGATGAAATAAAAGTATGTACAATATAAGCAAAGATGAATGGTGGCTAATAGTGGAGTCCAGAACGAGTGTTTCGTCCTATTTTAGACTCGTCAGTTGAAGGTACCTGTATCCTAGGGTTGATGTTCACTCTGGGACTCAAACCCATTGTTGCTCGCCTCAAATGCCATTGCATTATCCAATCAGCTACTGAGTCCAGATAGCCATTAGCTTGTACAATGGGGTGAAGTATAAATTCATTTCGTATTGTTTCTTTGAATCTTCCTATTAACTTTTAGGCCTCCAATCGATCAGTCCCAAATTGAATGATATGCGCGTCCTGGATTTCACTGTTAGCCACCATCCATCTTTGCATTTAATGCTTGTGACTTGAGGTAATATCGAGGCAATCCGTACAGGATGCACATATAGCAATAAGAGACTGATCAACTACAATCCTAAACATCAATGGGGAGATTTGAACAAACAATACAAAATGAAAAGTATGTACAGTTAAAGAATAGAATAACATAACTTTCATTCATTAAGTACTTTTCATGTCTGTTTACTAATGTCATCATATAAAAAAAAACAATTAAACTACATTTAAATCAAATAAAATTAAAGGTTATTCATATAATGAAGGAAAAATCTACAAATACATACATTATCAATTGCGATTATACCACGAGGTCGGATCAGTTTAAGACATAATTCATAATAATTACTGTAATTTTGTTTATCAGCATCAATAAGAGCAAAATCGAATGTTTCACTTTGTCCATTATCAATCAAATTTTCTAGAAATATAATAAAATAAGATTATAATCAAGTTACAAAGTTAATAGGTGAAAAACACATCGGAAACGTCTGTAATTTTAAACTATATCTATTTATAAATACTAGCTCAGTACTAAATTTTAATCACTAAGCTATATTCTCACTTTGAGATGGTGAAGAAGATTTGTAGCTCAGAGAACAAAACTCCACCAAAATATATTCTCACTTTTAACTTATAGATAGGAGTTTATTGATCTAGAAATCTAATAATATGAGATGATTTTTGTTGTTGATCAACTTATAAACGTTGGACATAGCTGATTCTATTTGTTACTGACTTACATTTTTACACTTACAACATACCACAAAAAACAACATAAGTAACTATTACTCTTATATTATTCAGGACATTTTTCAGTGTATATGATTTACTGATGATAAAAGTACATTTTAAATTGTAAAACTAACCTACTTTCAAAGTTTATATGTAATAAATGTACTAAATGATAAGGCACTATAAAGATCATGTTATAATTTGTGTAACCTTTTAATGTTGAAAAGTAAAATTATTTAGATACAACTTGTTGAGTAAGTGGTAAATCTTTCAATATTATTATAAATATAATGGTAGACTTGTAATTAATTGATAAGTATTATTATATCAATTACAAACCATCCAGTATTTTCATATCTTTCTATCTCCATATCTTCCAAAAGACTACAAACAAAGGTATAAATGCTATAAAAAACCGCATCTAGTACACTAAATACTCAACGAACGGATTATAACATATGGCCATTGCGAAACATTTGATTGAGACTGGTCATAAAGTTGACATCAAATCAGCATTTGTAGTGTTATACAAAAGCCTTCAAGCACGTATACTAAGGTTTATTGAAGCCTTGGCTATACGGAAATTGAAACTCCCTTCATGTGTTCAAAAACAATTTGTCCATACACTTAACCTACCCTGGTAATACTGATTTATTATCCACAGTGGTAATCATATAGCCGAAGCTCTTACCATCCAGGAGCTTAAACCAGAACTATGCGTACAAAAGAAGTACGTCTTATCGTTACCTTGGCCTTAAGTATTTTGATTATCCAATTATTATTATTATTATTATTATTATTATTATTATTATTATTATTATTACTGCATTTCCCCCCCTTTACTTACACCTCTATTGACCTTTAATTATTATAACAAAAAAACATTTTAATCATCTTATTATAATCACTAAATCTATTATTACTATTATTCATATTACGTAATCTAATATTATAACCCTTTTTATTAACTATTTTCACATTTCCTCACGGAATTTGTACTTTTACAAAATACAAAAAATTTTTCATATATACGATTGTACAGCTTGATAATCATATTTGTTTTTGTGTACTTTATTATGTTTTCTTTGTTATGACTTACCCTTAACCTGTCTAGTTGACCTTTTAATTTTCATATATAAACGTTCTTAACAAGTATATTATGTGTGATCAGATTGTTCGAAATGTATTGCGCAGATATATCACATAATTCTGATGAACTTCGTCTTCTCATTGCATTATACTGTTGAATCGGAAGATTATTCTCTGTTGCAAAGATTTTTAGTTTATCTTCTGAGGACATCATTTTATTATACATGGTTTAATTTATTTATTTCATGTACATATATTTTCACTACGTCAATGAAAGTAAAGGGAATGTAGTGAAATACTGTATCCTGTTTTTATTATCCAAACGAGAATTATGAATGGTAACTTTTGAGAACTATTTATGGACAAATACGATACATATATGTCTTTACCGTATAACTGTTAATTAGCTAAATTATGCACATTTATGTCCCTTTTATTATAAGCCTTATTTTGACTCATAGATTATTATCAGAATGTGTTTTGTGGAGATTTTCAGAAATTTCACTGGTTGAAATCATGAGTCAATTGAAGCTAGACCACTATGGAAAACCTGGAAGCACTGGACGGCCATTTCTTCCTAGTATGAGACTCCTCAGGAGTGCTCATCCACCAGTGAAATTTCTAAAAATCTCCACAAAACCCATTCTGACAATTATAATAATCACCTGCTCACTAGTGACTGACTTCAGGAGATACTCCTGGAGTTCTAGTGAGAAGCCGTTACCAGTGGAGTTCAACCAGGTCTGTTGTGATGTGGGAACTCACTGAAGACAATGGTGTACGGTGGCGCAACTTCGTGGATTGGTTGAAGTTAGACATTAACACCGTTGGATGCCAGCTCAGTGGTCTAGTTGGTTAAGCGCCTAGAGCGTAATCGATAGGTTCTGGGTTCGAATACTGCGGAGGCTGGGATCGTAGGTGCACACTGCCGAAGATTATTCTTATTGCTATTATTGTATTGAATATGTAATTTAAAACAACAATCAATTAAAAAGATACTTAGAAATAGAGCCTAACATTATGAATTTCAATATGCTAGTGTTGAATAACTGTACGTACATTATTACTTGTATTAGTTAATATGCATTAATAGTGTCCAGTTCTAATTTTTGGTTACATTTGATTCATTATATAACAAATACAGTGACTATTTGTTTTATTCATAAATAATCATTTATTTATAATTTACATACTAGTTTATCAAGTAACCTGGACAGTGTAGTTCCTTCAATGATTAATATGTATTTGGTCAGTTGATAAACATATTCTTATACATAATTTATCACCACAGTAATGATTTCCTCATGACACTGTAGTAAACAAGAATACGAGTGGGGACAAACGGATGTACTTATACACAAAATTACAGAACACCTTACTAAAATCTGGGAGCCATACAGTACTTCATTTGCAAAAGATCAATCAATTGTCTTAATCTTGACTGTTACTTTGCAAATGTCAATCACTCGTCTCATACTTCACTGTCCCATCATTTCCATATCAATCGTTTTCTGTTCCGTTCTTTCCTTCTCGATCTTCTCAATCTTCTGCTGTTAGAAATTATATTCCTCACTCGTGTTATATACTAATTATGTCGATATAAGTAGCACATACCACAACATCACCTATTTACATTAAATAATAGTCGTATTTATTCAGTCAGTTCGAAAACTACGCTGGTTAGTCCTCTATACCTCGTGTTTGGTGATAGACTATTTCTACATTTATCTGAATTATTTATTAAGTAATATATCTAATGAATGGTTCATACAAGAAAGTTATTAAAAAGGGATATTTAACACCTCAAAGACTAAATATTATGATTTAATAAAAATAATAATGCAAAATTGAATGCATTGTTATCAATGTAAAGTGGTTTCATAAATCTTCATCAATATATTGTCAATGTATTCAATCGAATAGCAATTTACGGTACATACAGGTTAATGAGATTATAAATATAAAGTTGAAATCCATTGACCAATAAGATTCATTTTAATTTCTCAATAAGAATATTTATACGGAACGTATATATTATTTTTAATAATTAAATTCATGAATCAATTGAAGCTAGAGCACCATGGAAAACTTGGAAGCACTGCACGGCCGTTTCAACCTAGTATGAAACTCTTCAGTAGCGAGCACTGACGATCATGCCGCGCGAGACTCAGACCCAGAACCTATCATATGCTCACTAGTGACTGTTTCCAAGAGTTATTTTATGGAGTTCTAGTGAGAAATAGTAATAATAATTTCCGAGAGTTTTAGTGAGAAGCAGTGACCAGTGGAGTTCAACCGGGTTTGTTGTGAGATAGTAACTTAGTTAAGACAATGGTGGACGGTGCCGCAATTTCGTGGATTGGCTGAAGTTAGACATTAACATCGTTGGTTCCCGGCCGGCTCAATGGTTTAAAGGTTAAGCGTTCGCACACGAGACTGATAGGTCCTGGGTTCGAATCTCATGGGGTGGGGTCATGGATGCGCACTGTTGAGGATTACCGTACCAGGACGAAAAGGCCGTTCACTGCCTCCAGGCTTTCCATGGTGGTCTAGCTTCAACTGACTCATCAATTCAATGATTAAATTACTACAATTTTCACAAAACCTCTCGCTGAGAATATTATTTTATTTAAAATTAGAGAACCCATCTACTGTATGAACTAAGTGACGAAATAGCTAATATAATCAGTTAAGTAAAGTACATCACAATAGTCAACATCCAGATTACTTACTGTCAGTCTAAATACTCCATTAGTGTGTGTTACTATTTGTGTATTATTAATAAAGTATATGTAGTTTTAAAATTAATAGAAAAGTTACATTGGTTTTAATATAATTTCACTATTATTAGATCAAAAATATAAGAGAGAAATCATATAAAACAGTTTATATACATTAATACTATGCTTACGTAGTATTTGAGTTGCTGTACCAAGTCGAAAGTCGATTTTTGACTCGACATTTGCCATTTTCCAAGCCGGTATACAATAATCTTTCAGATAAGCATCTGTTATCTCTAAGGCTACCACACAACCATCTGAAGGTAATACTTCAGCGATAGACAATGTACTATATCCAGTATAAACACCTATATTTTTTTTTGAAAAATATATACAAGACAGTAAATTAAATTATTATAAACTATAGGAGTAAATATGTGATTATGAAGTCAAGGTTCTTAAGATTTGTAACTTATGAAGACAAAAGAAAATGATTTAAAAGTTATGAAGTCCTACTCACTGCCTTCCCGCCCCAGGTTTTTGTCCATTGCAATACAAGTGAAGTTTGATTAAATGTCTTTTTAAGAGAATCCAATAGTACAGTTTTAAGACAGAGGTTGAAAGCAGCCATCAAAAAAACCTATTATGCTGTTCAATTGGTTGTGATTGAAAGATCTAAGCCCATGATTCCAAACAGACTCACACAATGCACGAGTGATTACGTCACATCCCATTGTATTTACAAATTAACATGCTTGTATGGACACACATATACAGGGAGAAGTAATCGAATAATACAATCAAGGGTCATTGAACATGTGCCTAGATGGCTTCAAAACCAATTAGTGTCAAATGATCTGATCAACTTGAGAGGTAGAAAACCATGTTCATCGATAGCGAAATATATAATTGGAACGGGGCGCAAAATTGACATTAATACAGCTTTTAAAACATTGTATAGAAATTGTGAAGTACGAATCTCCAGGTTTATTGAAGCCTTGTCTATTCGTAAATGTAAAGCCCCCTTGTATGTACAAAAACAATTTGTCGTAACCTTGGATTTACCTTGGTAATCCTTAAGTCATTTTATGGCCCAGGATAACGCGACAATTTCTTACTCTTTCTCACCCGTTTGTTTGTTTACTTGAACTTTTATTTAATTGACCTTTATTAATTTTCATATAAAAAATGACCTGACAAGTATATGAGTGACCAAATTGTTCGAAAGGTATAGCGCAAATACATCACATTTTTCAAATAAACTCCGTCTTCTCATTGTTCTATCGAAACAATATTTTCGAAAAAAATTGTTTTCTTTGCTAATTCCCATTTGATCGTTAAAATCTGAATGTTATATGGTTTGATAATTAATTGGCTATCAGGACTCAGTAGCTGAGTGGATAACGCGATGGCGTTTTGAGGCGAATGGTACTGGGTTCGAGTCCCAGACTGAACATCAACTCCAAGATGCAGGTACATCCAGCAGACGAGTCTCAAATAGGACGAAACGCGCGTCCTGGATTCCACTGCTAGCCACTATCCATCATTGCTTACAAAAAGCTTGTGAATTTAGGCTGTATCGACGCATACGCACAGTATCCGTATATGCCAATAACAGACTGATCAATTGCAGTCTTAAACCTCAATGGGAAGATATAAGCCAAACAATACTAAGTGAATTAATTTGATTATTAATTGCAGTTAGCCCCATGATTTGGTTTAGGGAATGTAATGAGGATCACAAATTCAGAATAAATTTCATCTTATTGTATTATATAACACTTTTCATTTGAAGACAAAACTGAATATTTTAAAAATATAACCTAAAGCATTCTACATGTACGCAAAATTTTGCAACAGTATTTCAGATGGAATAAGACTCTAAAGATATTAAATACCGATACTCATTTTATGTTTAACTACATTTATAAATCTTTTTTAAAAGATAGCCAACTCAAAAGATGTTACTTAAATCTCAAATATACACTAATTTTAAAGATAACTGTAAATATTGGAGGTGTTATGTTCTCTGAAATGGAAACTTTAGTTGCTAAGCTTCAATTTTCTTTCCCGGAAACATTGTCAACTGATATTTCAAAGAAAAAAGAGCTATTGAAATCTCTTTATGAATTGATTAGTCGCCTGTTTTTATTTGCCTGGAATTAGGTTAACTTTTATCCATAACTATGTCATCATTGTTTGTTTGTTTATTCTAATTGTTTTCCATCCACACCTGATTTCTTACATCACAGTTTCTAATCTGTTTTCCTATTGACTGATAGATTTCAATATCCCTATTGACTTTAACTTGAATGGAGTAACAGGATTTTTGCAGGTAGTTTTGTGTTTCCCCTGTTCACTTTTTCGATGTTTTTCCAGTTGAACTCATTTTTATAGTTATCCACACACGTTAACATAAGAGAATTTCTGTTGACACTCTTAACGGATAACTGGTGCTCATGTAAGCAGAGACGGAGAGGGCAGATACTTTATAGTATTCGTTGAGGATGGTGGGATTTCGTTTTTTCCTTTTTATCTGTCGTGGTGCTTTTAATATGTACAGTAGTGATCCCAAAACATTCTTAAATTTGTGTGTTACATTCATCCCTAGTGGTCTTAATAATCCGTTTATAGTTTTGAAGATATTTTTTATATTGCCTACTTTAGCTGCTGACTTGGTGTTCCATAGTCTGTTTGATAGATATTTCTTGGTAAATTTTTTTGAGTAACCATTTTTTCTAGAATACATCCATTAAGTGTCTTATTTTCTGTCTTCATGTAATTGCTGTGCTATAATATCCTTTCAGCCTTCTGAATAAGGTTTGTATACAGCTGATTTAGTGAATTACTAAGTCATCGTTGTGACTGTAATTGAGTATTTCATCAATATGGACAGTGTTTTATCCCGATAAGAATAATGAATGGTAATTGTTAAATAACTAAACTGTTCATATTTATTTCCCTCTTATTATGAGTTTTATTTCGACCTGTGAACTATTATTATACCATTTACCACTCTCGAGTTATGCCCTGTCTATTAATTACTACCTACCTCATTCACAGCCACATTTGGCTAAATCTTGTACAAATGTTGTTTCCTATTTTATGGTACGATGTGGTCTGTCTGGTTGGCATATAAACCTAGTATGTTTGGAATACATAATTCATATTGCAGAGATTGGTGTTCTGGACTTAACTGGCTGCGTGGACTAAGCAGGAAGCAGGACCAATAAGTACTGTAGACATCTCGTACGCGTTTTATACGTCACTGGTCCGATCGATAATTCACTGCTCTCTAATTGGCGGTATCATCACGTTATACATTATCAGGGCACACAGGCTGTAAGTTATAACAGAGACTTTTAATACAATTGAGTTTTAAGTTTTCCCACATTAGTCCTAGTGACTGGTTTATGCAAAAATGGTAACTGTTTGTCTGGTTTTACTATTAAATTGAATTTTGTGTCATCAAAGATGCTGCTAATCAAATTATAAGTATTTTTAACAATAACAGCTAGTTCGTTTACATAGCGAATTCAATATTTGCTTTTCATAATTGGCCACCAACACCCAGATTAATCGCAAAAGCCGATAACGAAACTAGGTGTTCTATCATACATGGTCTTAGTTGTTCCCGACAAGTTTTCTACCTTTAAGTCACTGAGTTTTTGATATTATCTGTATATAAAGAATACGCATACATAGTACACTTAAAAACAATGAATCACTTGTCGACTAACAGTAACAATACAATAAAGAGATTTTCTAAGGAATGTTTTTCGAGAATAGATAGGATATACATTTCTCGAAAATAATGTAAAAGCTACCACTAGATAAAATCGAGCTATCTAAATGAATACACATCATCAAGTTACATACATATAATGAGATATAAATAATTACTTACCAATATCAATTGTCTTTCTGGCATTTATTGCATAGCACATGTTAGATAAAAGTTGCATTTCAAGACTTGATATTAAGTAATATGCTTTAGGATCATCTTTTGTTTTCTAAAAAAAATTAGTGATAGTCATGATGATGATTACCTTTAAAAGCCATTTTTGAGCGTCTGATAAACGTAAAGAATGATCGTTTATGTACCGGTCAATTTTACTGTCATTCTGGACGCAACCAAATTCTGTAACTGTTTTGTGTGTGATATTTGATGTCTCAATCATCTGATAAGCAGGGATTTCCACTAGTTTGAACAAAAGCGACCTACGAAAAAATTAAAATGACTACACGTAATAAGCAAAAAAATGAGGTATTTAAATATTTTATTGACTGAGAAAGAAAGAGAAGTTAGAATACTGACAGACAGAACATTGCAGAAACTCATATAAACAACAGTAGTTCAGTTATTCACATATTACGATAACACGGAAATCCACTAGTAAGCAGGAAATGAATCATTATTAAATTTCACTATTTCCAATATCTCAAGAATCATAAGTCAGTTCTCCCTAATAGGTATGGGGTAACACTTACCAAGGAGATTGTACTTGGTCACTGCTTAATTGTTTAGTCGGACAGAATATTTTAACTCAGCCAATGTGAAGTTATTTATTACCGGCTTCCACTTCGAAAGAAATCACACTTGTACATCGACATTAACTTTAATGCATAATACAGGTCTTTCAAAGTAGACCAACTGGATAGTATTATGTATACCAGTTATATTATTTGTCTTCTAGGTTTTTTTAGCTAATGTCACAGTTGTATTCTTCTGATTCTCGATCAAGTAAAACATATAACTCAATGATAAAATCTGCCATGTTATATAGAAGTATATTTATATGTAAATAAATTTAATATCCGAAGCTCATTTGTAGCACACTATATATGGTTGTGAAGAATATTATATGCAGTTGAAAAATATAGTTGTGTTGGTTTATAATATATTAATGTTAATGATTATTTAAACTAACTATTTGTTTATCAAAAATGAACTTTTGGTGATTATTCTTCAACAAATCGATATAAATTAAGCTTAGATATTATGTTTATTGTTATACCCTGTATCTTCTTCCTTTTCTGATTATGTTCTTTCAAGCCTCAAACAACTATTTCGCATTTATTAACTATGTCGCACTTGTAACCTTGTTAGGAGAAGTCAAAAAGAGAGGAATAGATTCGTTCTACTCTACAGATCTTGTTGTTCTAGCCTTCGTTAAAAACACTAATACAGTCATTTGTATGAACTGTCTTTAGGAAACTATACAAAGTAACCCAATCCCGTAAAACGAAAGTATAAGTCTCACGTATATTTTTTGTTCAGAAGCTAATGTATGAGTGTATATGCGCCCAAAATATAATTTTACTTTTTTAAAAAAGTGACATAAGATTCCGAAAGTAATTTTCACTGCTAACGTGCCTTATCAGGAAAATCACTAAAAACCAGAAAGTCAAGTAGCGTGAAGATTTCAAAACTCAAATATTGTTAACTTAACATCCTATAAGATTATGAGTATGAAGCGTTCAGAAATTGTTAATTAAGACAAGATATTTTTCAAACTATACTCTGTCCTTTTCTAACGGTGGCAGTGTGTGGTATGAACTAATTAAAAAGTTCATAAAGTTATATAAAAAATGATTTCACTTGAAAATAATTACTATTAAATTACTGATTGTAAAGTATTGTGAATTAGGTTAAAACATGGGGGTTAACAAAAAAAAATACTGAACTATAGATAAATTTTTATCTATATTTAGAAAATGTTAATTATTATTAGAATAAAGTCATTCTAGCATATCACCTATATATTTAATGGTAAAGTAATCTGATAAAAAATGTACTTAGTAATAGAAGTTCATAACACTGTTAACGATATAATTAGAAAGTGAATATGTTATGTGGATTAATTAAAATGACCAAGTCATATGAATTATTAGGTTTGTTTAAATGTCTTCACCCTTATAACTTTAGAAGATCAAAACTTTTTATTCACAAAAGCATGCAGTGTATCAAATGATGATTGACTAATTTCAGCTTCACAGTTTATTAATCAAGATTTTCTACTACTATTATCAAGATATTTTGAACTGATAGAGAAATACATGAGATTGTCCAGCAATGATACTATTCATTATATTATTTATTTATTTCAACACATAAATAATGGTACAAAGAGGCACCAAATACATATGCGCCACACAAATCTCATTCGATATGTGTGGGGGCTGTGATACTGCTCGGGTGCCCAAACCGAAGCAGGTGGTTTTCTTAGGGGGCCACACCCCGAGCCTTCGACCTGGAGGTCTGACCCACAGGGCAGTGGAGCATCGTAAGGAGATGCAGTCCCATGGAAGCCGGTGACCAACAATTGGTTCATTCGCCATTTGTTCCCGCAGGATACTGGAGCCCATGTGCACCATTGGTTTAGAATCCGGTTAAAGCGCCGGACATTCGCTTTCCGTCCTCTCATTTTCGTAAACAACACCCCCGCCACGAGAAGGCAGTGAGTAGGACTTCCCTGGCAGAGGCTATATACGCGTGGCCGTGTGAGAGTATTTCAAGAGAGAGAGCGGACTCTCCCCACTCTCGGCCGTACCAGGGCATTTGAATGATGAGAATAAATCAAATTAATTTTTTCCTAGTTGAGTTTTAAATAAATTAGATTTCTGTGCATTCGGTCTTATAAAATGGTCATCTTCCTAGATTATATGTCTTCTCATTAACTAATGAGTAGTTGCTCATAATTAGACAAGTCAAATATTTGAAAATGCTTGATGGAACTTCAGGCTGAATAAAAGTTACTCCTAGGCTGGTGATAGATCTGTTAAAAGAAAGTTCAAATTTCGGTGAGATTATAACTTATGGACGACCTGCGAATGACGCCTAAGTGACCTTGAGAGTGCTCACCTACTAACAACTAGGACCAAATGAGGGTTATAAACTAGCGTGAGGAATTAGAATTATAATTTCAAGTTTATGGTTAGGGTTAGGAATTAGGTTTAGGGTTTTCATCACGAACTGACATCAGCTATAATGCCAAAACTCTATTTAACGAAACGGATGAGTGAATTTTGCGCCAAAGTCTGAGAGCTGTCATCCTGTATCTGATTGGATCGCTAGTATATTATAGTCTCGCGCAAATTTCTAGTGATTTATTCATTAAAAACAGTTTTTATCTCGTTACGCGTAACAATCATCTTCCTTGACCATAAAAAGGCATTTGATAGTGTGGCTAGGAGAACCCCATATAACATTTTTCGATACTATGGTTTACATCAGAAAATAGTCAGCATCATCCGAAATTCATACGACGGACTACACCGCAAAGTTGTACATTGAGGGCAGTTGGCAGACGTATTCCAAGTGAGGACAAGTGTCACACAAGGTTGCTTGCTCCCAAATTTTCTCTTTATTTAAGTTGTTGAATAGATTATAAAGACTTTAATATCTGACGGAAAGCACAGAATACAATAGACAGATTGGATGCGACTGGACGATTTGGACACCGCACATGATTTGCCCTTCTATGCTATAGACACAAACAAATGCAGGTCAAAACAATCAGTGAAGCAGCATTCTCTGCATCAGTAGACCTCAACATACACAAAGGGAAACCAAGATCGTCAAATGCAACACGGAGAACAACACAATCACAATTGGTGGGGAACTCTGGTAGACGTGTAATCTTTCACGTACCCGAGTAGCAATATCATCTATGGACGAAGAGGATTCGATGCCGACGTAAATGCAAGGATTGGCAAAGCAAGAACCTTATTCTTACAGCTGAAGAATATAAGAAACTCGAAATCTTCAATATGAACGTCGGGAAAGTTCCACTGTACGGAGCTGAAACGTGGAGAACTACTACAATCATAATCAAAAAGGCACAAGTATTTACAAACAGTAGTATAAACGAGATACTAAATGCCCGTTGATCAGATATCTTCAGCAACAATCTACTGTAGGAGAGAACAAATCAACTTCCAGCTGAAGATGAAATTAAAAAAACTTTGAAGGTAAATAGAACACACATTACGGAAATCATCAAACTGCATCCCAAAGCAAGCGCTAACTTGGAATTCTGATGGGGAACGGAAAATAAGGCAATCAAACACACTGTGTTGAGAATTGGAAGCCGATATGAAAAGGATAAGTAGCAACTGGAAACAGCTGGAAGGATTTCTCGGAACAGATTTCGATGGCGAGTGCTGGTGAGCAGATTATGCTCTTCCACGAGAAGTAACAAGAGTACGTAAGTAAGTACATGTCACAATGATAAAAGTTTGAAACCATAAGCCATATCTGTCTACTGATTGTTGTCCATAGTATGGTTTTTCAAATGCGAAAGTCAAAAGTTTTCATATTGTGAATTAAACATGTATAAGCAAACAATATTGTTTTCAACTGGACCTTCATCATGTTTCACCTTATTTTACCTTAATATTTATGTCCATATATAGATATATCAAACCAATCAAAGCTGTTTAAGATATGTGATGACAAAAAAGTGAATTAAACAAATGAACATGATAATTATGAAGTATAAATTGGTAGTGTGACGAAAGATGTACCAGTTGTGATAAGAATAATGAAATCTCGAATCAATATTTCATGATAGGAAGTAGGTGAATGAATTGAAAAAGAGGGCTATGAATCTATAATTATCAGAAATTATTAGTATTGCGTAACTTGAAGTGTTCAAATAATTTGAAAGTGAAGCATATGTTTGAGAAAAGGAGTGAGGAAAAACAAAAGAACAATAATAGGTAAAATTATATGTGTGAGCTGTACTGAATGAGTATTGGTACGTCGGGTTTACGTTTGATTAGTTGAATATGGTTCAACTAAAAAAGACAGAGAAAGCGTTCAGGAATGAACATTTTACTCAACACAATTTACGATGTTCTGTCCCACTAGTTTTGTCATGAAAATTCTATTGTTTGGTCAAGAATGTTAGAGATTTTAGTGCCAATGTTATTGCAACAAGGTGTCCATTTTAGACTGAAGTTCAAAGTTGCCTAATTTAAACGTCACAATGAGGTAGTTTTTAATATGAACAACTTCCTTAGATCCTGCGTCACTCAATAAGGAATAAATAAGAAAGCTTATTTGAAATTAGAATGATTTATTTACCTTAATGTTCCACTGTCAAGAATAACAACCATGAAAACAATTAACCGAGCTCACTTACTTTTCAGTAACCTTTTCAGAGGAGAGGCTAAT